CCCTAACACAGGCATAGTGCCCTGAGCTAGCTTTAATCTTGTGGTTGAGAACAACACCTTGGCTGAACAACAAGATAGAAGGAATCTGTATCCTTGGATGACCTCTGGAACAGAGCCATCCTTACCTACTTCTGTACTGTTAACGTGGGGGCAAATTAAACATCTGTTTAAACCCGTCTTTAGATGTCTCTGTCACAGTCATTTAGCCCATCTCATAACCATTATGGAGACATGCCATGTGCTGATCTCGAAAGATGCCGAAAATCTCTTCAGCACAAACCACTTTCCTTTCTTCTCTTCAGGAAAGGATTTTAGAGATGAGAGCGTGACCTTCAGAAGTATAAAAGACCCAGATAGAAGATATATTGAGAAACAATATTTTCACATTTTGCTAATTTTGTTTGTTAGAGGTTTTTATGGAGCAATACTTTGTGAAATACCCTCATACCATGATCTTGAATTGGGAGGTGTATTTTTATAGTTGCATTTTAGTTAATCTTTACGTTCAGTGCATTTCCTTTTAATATTGCCAGTGTCCCCTGCTTTGTTCTCCCCCATAACCATTTTTTGGTGGCACTAATTCTAAAATATATATGGGCACGCACATACACACAATAAAAAAGTCCACAAAAACTAGCCTATTCCTGAATAGGGGGGAGAAAGAAAGACACTTGGTTTTTGGTTTATTTGGAATGGGCTTTTGGTTCCTGCTGTGGTATGGGGTTGGACTGGGACTCCCTGGTGGCTAAGGTCTCATCAGCTAACTTAAAGGTGAGTGTTTGGAAGGAAGACCTAGTGATCGATTTCCTTAAGAATTATAGGCAGGAGAGCCCTATGGGTCAGTTCTCCCCTGTCATCCAGGTTCACAATGAGATGGCACCCACAATTATTAACAGTTCCTGAGCATTACAGATGGTTAAGAACTGAAAATTTGGCCGTTTAAATCTACACAGTGCCACCAGAAAAAAAAGGCTGGACAGTTTACTGGAAAATCACAACCCTTGAAAACCCCATAAAGGACAGTTCAGTCAATGGCAGATGGCTTCAGGTGTTATTTTGTTTGTTATGTTATGGTTAATAAGAATACAGTTGTCAAAAAAAAAAAAAAAAAAGAATACAGTTGTCATAACCAAATGTGAAGAAAGCTGATGGTGCCCTGCTATCAAAAGATATATAGCATCTGGGGTCTTAAAGGCTTGAAGATAAACAGCCATTTAGCTGAGAAGCAACAAAGCCCACATGGAAGAAGCACACCAGCCTGTGTGATCATGAGGTGTCAGTGGGATCATGTTTCAGGCATCAAAGACCCAGAGCAGAATCAAACCCAATGTGAAGGGGCCGGGGGCAGGCATGGAGTGGAGACCCGATGCCCATCGGTAGACATCCCTCACAAACGAGTCACAGGGAAGAGATGAGCCAGTCAGGGTGCTGTGCAGTATAGCACCGATGAAACACACAACTTTCCTCTGGTTCTTTGGTGCTTCCTTCACCCCACTATCATGACCTCAATCTACCTTACAAATTGGATTAGACCAGAACATGCACACTGCTACAGATAAGAGCCTGCAACACAGGGAATCCAGAATAGATAAATCCCCTCGGGGCCAACAATGAGAGTAGAGATACCAGGAGGATTAGCGGAGGTGGGGGGGTGGTGGCGGGAGAAAGGAGGAATCAATCACAAGGATCAACCTAGAACGCCTTCCCAGGGGGACACACCAATGGAAAAGTGGGTGAAGGATGGCAGCGAGTGGGGGAGGAGGAGGGAAGAAATGGGGAGCTGATATCAGGGGCTCAAGTGGGAAGAGAATGCTTTGAAAATGATGATGGCAGCATATGTCCAAATGTGCTTGACACACTGGATGAATGTATGGATTGTGATAAGAGATAAAACCCCCAATAAAAGTATTTAATTTAAAAAATGTTAAAAAAATAAATACAGTTGTCATTCAGAAACCTCACCACCCAGTGAGTTGATTCTAACTCATCTTGACCCCTAGGATGTAACTCCTAGAACAGAGTCAAACTGCTCCCTAGGGTTTCCAAGGCTGTAATATTTACAGGAGGAGATAGCCTCATCTTTCAGCTGAGGCAGCTAGTGCTTTTGAACTGTTGACCTTTGTGGTTAACAGCCACCTCACAAACCGCTAAGTCTCAAAAACTCACTGCCACTGAGTCCATCCTGACTCTGAAGATATTCATGTTACATTATAATCAGGTTAAGTGAGATTTGCTAACCTTTGGGAAGGGGGGGTAGTTTGGATCTTGGGTGAAAGGTATCCTTATAATAGTTTACCATATATACTTGAGTATAAACCGACCCGAATATTAGCTGAGGCACCTAATTTTATCACAAAAATGGCATAAAAATGCTGAAAAACTCTGCTTATACATGAGTATATATGGTATTTTCTTGAGTAATTTTATTATAATTATTCACAAATTTATTAAAATTACCCATATAAAAGAACAAGACCACACATTAATGAATTTTTTGTCATCCATGTGTTATTTCACAAGCGTTATTTGAGGACCCTATTGCTAATGTCTTCTCAGTTTTATACAGAATTTTTTTTGATAGTGATTGCCTTTTGCACAAAACTGGCATTCATGGTTGGTCTCTAAACTATACCATCTCTCCCCTGAGGCCTGCTTATGCTTTGCCATAGTCAGTAGTATGCTTGACCTGTAAGTGAAAGCGATGACAAAAACAAAGCTCTTAGCTACAGTGCATTTATAGGCATTCTTTCTTTTTTTTGAAAAAAATAATTTTATTGGGGGCTCATACAACTCATCACAATCCATACATCCATCATTTGTGTGTCAATCACATTTGTACATTTGTTGCCCTCATCATTCTCAAAGCATTAGCTTTCTACTTGAGCTCTTGGTATCAGTTCCTCATTTTTCCCCTCCTTCCCTGCTCCCCCCTCCCTGACAAACCCTTGATAATTTATAAATTATTATTTTGTCATATCTTACACTGTACGACCTCTCCCTTCACCCACTTTTCTGTTGTCCATCCCTCAGGGAGGAGTTTATATGTAGATCCTTGTAATTGGTTCCCCTTTTCTACCCCACCTTCCCTCCACTCTACTGGTATCACCACTCTCACCCTTGGTCCTGAAGATATCATTTGTCCTGGATTCCCTGTGTTTCCATTTTCTATCTGTACCTGTGTACATCCTCTGGTCTAGCCAGATTTGTAAGGTAGAGTTGGGATCATGATAATGTGGGGGAGGAAGCATTTACGAACTAGAGGAAAGTTGTATGTTTCATTGCTACACTGCACCCTGACTGGCTCATCTCCTCCCTGTGACCCTTCTGTAAGAGGATGTCCAGTTACCCACAGATGGGCTTTGGTTCCCCAATCTGCACTCCCCCTCATTCACAGTGATATGATTTTTCTTTGTTGTCTGATACCTGATCCCTTCAACACCTCATGATCACACAGGCTGGTGTGCTTCTTCCATGTGGGCTTTGTTGCTTCTCAGCTAGATGGCTGCTTGTTTACCTTCAAGCCTTTAAGACCCGAGATGCTACATCTTTTAATAGACGCACACCATCAGCTTTCTTCATCACATTTGCTTATGCTCATACTTGTCTTCAGCGATCATGTCGGGAAGGTGAGCATCATGGAATGTATAGGCATTATTTCTAAAGATAACCAAAACATTGAGTTCGTGTAGATTTTAGAAGTAGAATAAACCTTAAAAACGAATTTATCTGTGGCTTCATTTTTAATAATTAATTAATTTTTAAAATACTTTATTGGGGTCTCTTACATCTCTTTATCACAATCCATGCATTCATCCAGTGTGTCAAGCACATTTGCACATATGCTGCTGCCGTCATCATTTTCAAAGCATTCTCTTCCCACTTGAGCCCCTGATATCAGCTCCCCATTTCTTCCCCCTCCCTCTCATATCCACCCTCCCTCACACACCCTTGATAAATTATAGATTATTATTCCATATCTTACATCATCCTCCGTCGACCCTCCCAAGCCTCATTTAAAAAAATTTTTATCTTAATAGATCATTTTATTGGGGTCTCTTACAACTCTTGTCACAATCCATATGTTGCCTTCATTATTTTCTAGACATTTACTTTCTATTGAGCCCTTTATATCAGCACATCTTTTTTTTGTTCCCCCTCCCCCCACCCTCATAACCCCTTGATAGATTATACATTGTTATTATTTTCATATCTCACACTGACTGCTGTCTTCTTTTCCCCTTGTTTTCTATTGTTCTTTCCCCTGGAGAGGGGTGTATGGTTATGAGTCGATCATTGTGATTGGTTCCCTCTTTCTCCCTTCCTCTCCCTTCCCCCTATCCTTCTGGTATCACTATTCCCACTCCTGTTACTGGATTCTGTGTGTCGTGAACTCCAATCTCTTATCTACACCTGTGTACATGTTCCCGTCTAGTTTGAATTGAGAAGCAGCACTGGGGTCATGGTAGTGGAGGGTGAGGAAGCCTCAAGGAACCAGAGGAATAAAGTGTGTTTCATCAAGGCTTTACTGTACCTTGGTTGACTCATCCCTTCCCTGTGGCTCCTTGGGGGTCGGGGGATTGCTGCTCCATTGTATACAACCTCCCTCATTCTCAACAATATGTTTTTGTTTGTTCTTTTTTTTGTTTGTTCTATGGCCTCATTTTATGTTATGATAGTTACCGTTTATTCCTATGAGCCTACTGTCAGCACCATGATGGTGCTTTTATAGTTTGTTTCATCCTGATAACAATTTAGTGAGAGGATATTTGTGCTATTTCTGTTTTATAATTGAGGAAACATTGGCTTAAGGAGATTAAACCTTTTGCCAAAGATAACAGAGTAGTATCTAACACCAGTATGCATGATCTTGCCAATTGTTACAGTGCTGGTTGAAGATGAAAAAGCTAAGGCTAGAAAACTGATCATACTGTAATATGATAAACTTTGTGAACATCTCGTGTTGTTTCTGTTATTTATGAGGTCTGTTTTGTTCTCTTCAGTACAATGCTTCATCCCAGCAGCAAAGGGAAATAATTAAAAGTAGGAGCCTGGACAGGCGGCTACAAGAACCAATAGTATTAACAAAGTGGAGACACAGCACCATTGTATTAGACACCAACGACAAGGTAGGACTTTCTCAGAAATTTTTTGAGAATTTTGATAAGTTCTTTGTGTGTTATATTGTTTAATGAATTCTAGCCATTTGCACTAATATAGCTCATTGCATGGTAGTGTTACTGATTCTTAAGTATGATTTGTTCTTTGTTAAAATATTTTGTTATAAATCAGTTGAAGTTTTTATTTGCATATATGCTGAATCATAATTTTTTCCATATATTTTCTCCTTTGCAGAACCTCATATCTTGGTGATTATTCTTATGTTGACTTTAGCATCAACTTGTGGAGAAGGTTTTGGTTTTGAAGTTTTTTGGTTATTATTTTTTTCCACAATGACTTAATGATAAACGCATTGATACGCTTGAGCCTAATAACCTACACCTTTTTTTTGCGGGGGGCGGGGGGGGGCTGGTGTACTGTATTTAAAAGTTCCATTTATTTTCCCTTTCATTTGTCTTCAATCTGTAGGAGGCTTTGTAGTGAAAACATCTAATTATTTCTCCCCATCCCAAAGATGATTGGAATCCTTACTCCCTCTCTTTACACGCTTTAAACCACTTACTGAAAAAAAAATCAAAGAGAGACAAATGGGCTTTGCATAAAGTGTTTTATCAATCTGACAAGGAACGTTCTCTCTCAAGTAGGAAATAAAGTGTGATAGAAACATCAGAATGGGCAGGCCATAAACTCTTAACTCTCTTCAAGCAGTTATATCTTTTACATAGGGCCTTTAGTTTGAGGCTGGGCAGGAAAATAGAGTGAATTTGAAGACTGTCAGACATAGTAATGTTACAGTGTGGTAACACCCCAAAATGATGTTCTTTCACAAAGAAACTGTCACCGAAGAGTCTTTTTTACTTTTATTACTCTTTTACCATAATTAATAGATTTGACATAGTTTTTTCACGTATTATTTTTAATGAAAACAGAATGAACTCCCCAAAGCCATACTTATCTGAGTTTGAATACTTTCACTCGTAAATCTCTTTAAAATTATCTGAACTGATTCATCAAAACAAGTATATTTTCTTTAGTACAGCAAGTGACTATAAAATTGGTCTTTGTTGAATTAAAAGATTAGATTTTGTGCAGTTGTATAAATAATCATGAAATTTATAAAATAAATGGTCTAATCGTAATAGTTAAAGTAGTATATCAATTTCTAGTTTCTATTCCGTCAAGTTGTTATGCAGTTGAATAGAGTGTATGTACAAAGAATGTTCAATTAAAGTTGTATTTGAAAATATACCATAGTTGAAAATGTTAAGATTGAGATTAGTCTAGGAAGAGCCGATTCCTGGAATTTTTAATAAGGAAAATTTCCATAAATTCACTATATCCAGAAAGTTCTTAATATCATATCTAGTGCCTAGCGTAAAAGCAGTTGTTGAAGAAATTTCACCATTCACAGTATCAAAAAGAACAAGGATGTTAAGTTTGATGATGGGGTATTAAAATTTTTTACTCCTTTTTACTCTCTCTTGAAACTAATTTCATTCTATTGCCTAGAATAATTTACATGAAGTTCTTAATACTTTTATTTATTTATTTTTTGCCGTGATTATTTCCAAGTTGTAGTAACATGTTTTTTTTGAGAGTAGAGATTTACTATTTTTAATAAGACTGTCTTTTTTTCTTCATTTTCTTCTTTAAAAATGAATCCATTGGTAATTGCTTTGCTAAGTAAATTTAGCTATTTATTATCATCACCTAGAATATACTTTTTTAAGAAAGGTTATTTGCAGTCTTTGAAGTTATGAAAGAGGGACTATATCAGAAACAAACTAGCTGAATAATATATGATATGGGGCAAGATGTGTAAAACTTGAAATTTAATCAAAGAAACCTAATATTGTATAGCAAATATTATGATGACATTGACCCTAATTCAGTTGTCAGATAACCTTGGAAGAGGTTGATTGTATGTGTGTGTGTATATGTGTATGCGCCCGCGTGCGCGCGCATCTCTCTGTTTATGCTTATGAGTGGTTTGTACAAAAATGAAATCATAAATATCTAAGAAATACATACATATGTTTATAAATAAATGTAAATAAATGCAAACTAATCTCTTTATGATAATTTTTTATATAAATTACTCCTCTATATAGCTTTTATTTCTACAGGACTGCTAAATGCTATGGGGAAAATCATAATTTTATTCAATAACATGTTTTGTGGATTCCTCCTTTTCCAAGATACTTTTAATATTAGTTGAACCCTCTCTTGCAAGTCAACAGATTTTGAAAAAGGAAGCATCTGAAGCTGTCAGAAATGAGTAGAATTTGAGATGTAGTGGTCCAATGGATAAGAGCTTGGCTGCTAACTGAAGTTGGCAGGTTGAATCCACCAGTCTCCTGTCGGGAGAAAGATGTGGCAGTTTGTTCTCATCAAGTTTGCAGCCTAAGAAGTCCTCTGGGCAATTCTACTCTTTCCTATAGAGTCATTAGGAATCAGAATCAACCTGACAGTCTACAACAGTCAACAGAAATCCAGACATTAACACAATTTATTTATTGTAAAGATATTTTTATATGATTTTAATATTTTCTTGAGTCATAGTACTAATGCTCTTGGGGAGGACCTGGGGTAATATGATGGTGTAATATTGGCCTTAGTTGTTTGATTTGTATGCTTGTCCCTTGCAAGGTTTTCCCTGTACATTTTTATTACAATGTAGGTAGAGTTTCTGTTTTATAAATCCTATGGAATATAAAACTGAAGACTTTTTTCCTGATGAGTGAAAGTTGAATGAAAGATTTTTACATTGTTATTGAAAAGAAATTCCCAGGTTTGGGGGCTATACCTTCTATAGTTACATAAGCATAGAATATAAGAACGGTCCAGATAAAGGTCCAGATAAGTGATTTGTTTGTATTATTAAATTAATAGTAGATGTGGGCAAATGATTTCTTTATCATCTTTTCCTTAAGTTACTCAGAGTATCAAGGGGAATGGAGAAAATTTAAATGGAGAGGTAGGCTGTTTAGGTAAAAAAAAAAAATTGCTTTTTCGGCCTTATCTTCCATGAAATAGTCTTTTAAACATTTGTAATAGAAATAATATTATGTGTTTTAATATTGATAAAGAACTGCTAAAAAAACATCATTCATTTCTTTTATAATTTTAAAGAGCTATGAATAAATGTTCTTTTAAAAAAACAATTAACCCTTAAATTTGATGTCTTCCTTGCATAACACATGTTGTTAATTTCTAGTCATTAGAAAGTTAGCTATGAATTATGCTTTATATTAATTATAGTTTAATTCTTAATGTAGCTGTTGACTAAAATAGATTTCTTCTGGCAGTTCCCAAGTCATTTCTGTAACTAATTTCCATCAGACCAAGAGCAAGTTAATATAGTGACTGTTACATATTTGTCCATAGCACTTAGATTTTTACCTCTTTTAAGTATAGTTGATGTACCCTGAGTTAACATCATGATTTTAAAGCAACATGCGTAATTTATTTTGAATTATGGTATAATGATATATGTAGTACTTAAAATTCACTATAAATGGTATAGAAGATACCAGTTTTATAACCTTTTTAAAATGTCTGAATTAAAAAAATTAGTATAGTATCAGTTTCTAAGCTGACTGTGGAAGGAAAACCTTGAAGAAAATAATTTTCTTAGCATCCCATTGTAAGCTCTCTCATTGTGAATAGAGGGAGGAATAAAATTAATAAAATAGAGTAACGTTTTCATTACTTATTTCTTATAGGAATCTCCAACTGCCTCAAAACCCAGCTTTCCTGAAAATGAGTCTCCTCCTCCCTCTTCACCAAAGCACCAAGATACAGTTAGTATGATAGAAGCGTGGAGTGTAATTATAGTCCAGTTACTTGAATCAATAAGTTAATAAATTAATAAGTTAATTTTCTCTAATGCTTAACTACTTTTGGGCTTCTATTAAAGTTCATTGTTTTGTTTTTTAATGATAATAGGTTAAAATTTAAAAATCAAGTTCTGTTGTTTAAAAATCCCCCCTTTTGTTCAGAGTAGGAGATCTTAAAGTTATTAATATACAGACCAAATTTGTAAGCTGATAAATTTATAAATATAAAAATTCCCAGAGAATACTACATATTATACTTACCTGTTTTCCCTGTGGCCAGCGGTTTAAAGGTAAGAAGTTTCCCTGTGGCCAGCAGTTTAAAGGCATTTCCCTCTTCCTCAAGGAGCTCAGACACCATCGTCTTGGTGTCTAAACTCTAAGTACTCGTCCGTTGCCCAACCTGTGTCAGGTAAAGAGAGGAGCTATGTTGATGCCACTGTAAAGTTTCCTTTACACTGAAAAAACCTTCTAATGCCTACTTTGGTAAAAATTGATTTGATCTCTGTATTTGAATTTTCTTCTAGTCTTTCCTCTGAAAGTGGCTTCCTCTTTAAAGGCCTTCAGTGGCTTCTCGTTTTCATGTCGAATGAAGACCAAAGCTTTTCTTGCGGACTCCCAAGACCTGTGCTCTGGTTCCCGGCTTCCTCACAGCTTCATTTCATACACTGTTACCTCTTCCCCCATGGTGTCCTTCTAAGTGCACTGCCCTTCTCTGCCTTCCCACAAGGTGTCATGCTTTTCAATTCATGGTCTGTCTTTGTTTTTGTTCTTCTTGCCCAGAGGAACACTTCCTCTTCCACATCTGCACTTAGTTTCTTCTTTTTGAAAATTTCCTTAGTTAACTTTTGTTCACGTATTAGGGCTTAGTACAAACTCGACTTCCTCAGAAAACTTTAATCCTTTAATTAGGTCATTTCTTCATAGCATGTACATACAATAGACTGTTATCATTACTTGTAGTCATAGAAATTTCCAACTTTCTAATGCTATCAATCTTCCCAGTAGACCCAAAACAGAGCAACTTTTAAGAGCAGAGCAGAAGTAGAGTATCCTCAGGACCTAATAGAGTATCTGCAGGACCTATTGTTCAGTGAATATTTGTTGAATTAATCAGTGGAACTTCTTAAGCTCCAGAAAAGACAAACTGATCGTTATTTTCCTTATTTTATGAGACTCATAGACTCTTGTTTATTAGGGTACTTGCGGTTTCTTAGAGGAAGAGATTTTCTTGTAGCCACCCATACTGTTCTGTTTTTCTGACTTCTGTGTTCCTGAACCTACACGTCTTTTATGGTTCATCTACTTACTGTTTCTTTCCTTCAGGCAGGACTCAGCCAGCTCCTCCTGCCTGGACGAGGCTTTGACTTCTACACAGGAAGGCTAAGCCCTACGCCTTTACAAGACCTAGTCTTTGATTTTGTTTTTTTTCCTACAGTCTTACTGACATAAAATTTATGTACCATGCAATTCAGTGTTTTAAATGTACTTTTAAAAGAGTTAAACATTCATCACCACCATCACTTTTTGAACGTTTCTTCATTCTTGTATCCATTATTATGAGCTCTCACTTTCTGCGCCACCTCCCCTGCCACAGCCCTGAGAAACTGTTGGTCTAGTTACTGTCTCTATAGATTTATGCATCCTGAGTTTCTTATAAAGGAAATCTTACTAAAAAAGACCCCCACAACAACGCAAAACAAAACATAGAAAAACCTCAATCCAAAAGAAAGCAGAGAATAATAAAAACTTAACAAATTAAAAAATGGGTCAAAAGGGCAAACAAATGGTAAGATGTTAAATTGTAACCTAGCTGTATCTGCAGTAGGCACTCTGGTGGTGTACTGGTTACAAGTTGGGCTGCGATCTGCAAGGTCCCAAGTTTGAAACCACAGCTGCTCCTCGGGAGAAAGATGGGGTTTTCAAATCCTATAAAGAGTTGTAGTTCCAGAAACTCACAGTCCTACCTGCCATAGGATCATTTTGAGCTGGTGTTGGTTCAATAGCAGTGAGGTCTTTTTGTTTTTGTTTTATATCTGCAGTAACGTGCTTTCCAGTACACTGTCTGAGGATAAGAGCATTCACATCTTTGGTCACTGAACCGAGGAAATCAATGGAAACTTAATCCACCTGTGGGCCCTGTACTGAATTTTGGGCTTTCACTGTCATCCATAGCTTTCTGCAAACTCAGATTTTAAACTCATTACCGTCCCTTCCTCTGTTGTTATTATTACTCAATGCCAGTGAATTTAAGGTTTTTCTTCTTGCCAAACTATCCCAGCATAATGCCCACGTGTTCTTTATTTCTGAGCACCCAAGATACTTACTGCATTGAATGGTGTATAGGTTATTTGACATATTCCGGTCTCCCTACTAAGGTTTAAACTCTCTTACGGATTAGGGTCTCTGTTTCTACTTTTGATCTTTTTTTTAAAAACTAGATCATGTTGGACTCATGGTTTCCTCTGATGGCAGTGTATGGAACTGCCTCATCAGTGTTTCTGCTCAGTTTCTTTTTCCCCCCAACCATCAAGTGAAAAAATGAACAGCTTTCTTAATCCTACCTGAGAGCATTCTGTTTTTACATGGACACACAATTTTCCTTGACCCCTGGAATGCTCCTCTTCCATTCTTTCCTGAACCTCATGTGAGACTTGCACCCTCTTCCACTCTTTACGTCCCTTGTTCTGAGTTGCTACCTGGCCCTCCTTGTCTTTTACACTCACTAGACTTTCACTTGGTTTTCCCTCCCTTACCTAATTAACATAAGACGATTAACCTATCCCTTTTCTTTGTGATTCAAAATCTGATGGCTGATAAAATTTAGTGATAAGAAAAAAGAAACTGCAAATTTCAAAGTGAAAAAACAAAAATAATACCATAACCAGTGATAGCTATCTGATAGCACCTTTAAACTCTGAATTACTTATCTACCTCTTTAATCTCTTCTAATCAACCAGATCTAAATTCTGTCTCACACTATAAATTGAGAACATGTTAATTTTTCTTATAATATTTTATTGCCAGTTTTCATATGTATTATTATTTTCATAACCCCTTCTTATATATACATCAGGGGGTACCCCCCCCCCCCAACAAAAACAAAGCAAAGCTCGCCTGGGAAGGGTCTTTTTGGTCACGGAATTTTTTGTAAAAGCAGTTTCGCTCAAACCTCATTATTTGTGATGGCTGATTTAAGAGAACAGTGTGCAGCCGTGAAATTTTGTTTCCTGCTCAGGAAAAATGCTGCAGAAACTGTTGTGATGTTGAACACGGCTTAACAAGGACAACACTGGGAAAACTTAAGTGTACAAGTGGTTTCCTCATTTCAAAAAAGGTGAAATGTTGATTGATGACAAACCTCATTCTGACAGCCCCCATTCTGTCCATGTCCCCAAACAGACAAAAATGTCAACTCTTAGTACATTTGGAGTTTGTTCCACCAGGTCAGACTGTTAATCAAGCTTTCTATTTAGAGGTTCTGAAAAGATTGTGTAACAGTGTGCGCCCCCAAAGCCTGATTTGTGTCAGATTGGACCACCAGGACAATGCACCTGCTCACGAAGCCATCTCAGTGCGCCAGTTTTTGGCAAAAAACAGCGTGCCTCTTTTGCCCCACACACCTTACTCATCGGACCTTGCTCCATGCAACTTCTTTTTGTTTCCCCAACTGCAAAGGGACATGTAAAGACAGCGATCTGTTGGTGAAGTGAAAATTGAGGGAAGTGTTGTCAGCCCTCCAAACAGATGAGTCTGAAAAATGTTTCCAAGAATGGAATCGCAGATTTGACAAATGTATTAAGTGTAATGGAGTACTTTGAAGAAGATAAGGTTGTTTTGTAAAAAATATTTAAATACATAACTTTTTTTGGAGGGGGGTAAATTTTTTAAAATTCCATTTTGGAAGGGTACCCCTTCATTTTGTGTGTGTGTAAAATATACTTCTGCACAGTATGAATTACGTAGGCTTTTCTGGGGTGCTATACAATTATAACCTGTAATTGTCACAAGACACCTATGCACTAGGCATTTTTGAGTCTCAAGTTGACACAGTGACCAAAACATTAGACTCAAGTGCTGCAGTGATTGTGGGGAGGACGCAGGACCAGGCAGTGTTCTGTTTTGTTGTATTTAAGTCATTATGCATTGTCTTGAGTGCAGATTACCAATTACTCAATTGAGTTTTAAATTATATAAATAAATTGGAAACTTGAGCTTATGGTTTTGAAATATATTACTGTTTTGGAGAAGAGTAGATTTCAACACTTTCTCTAACAAACAAATTTACTGATTTATTTTCATTGGGTGTACGATCCTAAAGCCTTTTTATTTTAAACTGTTAAAAAATATATAGAACATAACACTGCCTATTCAGCATTTTGGAGCTGTGAAATTTAGTGATTGCAGCTACAGTGGTCATGTTTTGCAACCATAATTATTACCAAATTACCCACTACCATAGATAGAAACTCAGTGCCTAACACCTTTAAAAACATTATTTTAATTTTGAATATTTTTACAACAGTAATTCTTAACAATTTTTTTGAGGTAAAATTCAGATAATATAAAAAGAACCATTTAAAAGTTTACAATTCGAAGGCACTTAACTAGCTTTGCAGTTTGATGCAGCCATGAGCTCCAGATGGCTTTAAGACCTCTTCAGCAGCCCAAAGGAAGCCTATGCCCGTGAGGCAGGCACTGCAGCTTCCCCATTCTCACCAAACTTGCAACCACTTCCTGTCTGTCCAGACCTTCTTTTCGCCTGTATGTTTCTCTCTTTATCGCTATAGCATTGTACAAAGTTTACCCATCTTGCACAAAAAAAAATCTTGATTAGTGTATCATTATAACTTGATTAACTGAAGATAGGGACTTTGATCTGGTACATCATTGTTGTTAGCCTAAATTGGAAAATGTTTCTTTTACAAAATATGAATGCAAACTTGATTGGAAATTCTGAATCCAGC